TAATACTGTTTTGATTTTGTAATTTATTAAGCTACATAGATACACACACACAAAAATTCACACGTACTCCATCTCGCACAAAGCCATGTTTAGTTGTCGGAAAATGCAAAAATTTCACAGCATTCATTTTTTGTTTGTTTCTTAATTTTCCTCTACTGCCACTACATACATCTTTTCTGTTGTGTTGTGTTGTGTTGTTGCTTTTAGCTCGGGCTTTGTTCGCTCTTCATTACCATGCTACGTAATGCAATGTGATATCGACATGACAGTACTCGCTGTGCGCACTGCACTGGCGCTTCACATGCATGCTGTTCAACTTCTATGCATTTAACTTTGTACTATGTATTTAGTATACTCATATGTAGGCACATGCACCGTATGTATGTAGCTATGTGCGTGACAGCTGTTGCGCATGCACTTCTTTCTGTCTGCGTCCGAAACATTTTTCGCATACGAGTATGTATGTAAATGTAAGTAGTCCCAGCGTGGCTGGCATGGCATGTGTTGTGGCTTGTGTAAATATGCGCCAGCTCATTCACAGCTACCAACTGAACGAGTGCCGCAATTGCCACTCAGCTCCGGCTGCATTGAGGCACACGTGATGCGGGGGAGCTAGCCCACCCTCACCGTCTCTACCCAATTCCTTAGCTTCCGTCGATATTGTGTGGCGCGCACATGATCATCATCGTGCGTTCATTATAGCCGCGAAATCAGCAGCTGTTAAATGCTCACTCCACTAGCCGAGTGTAGCCACTTTGGTAGTCTTCTGTGTTTGGCCACAGGGTTCAAAATGTGCAATTTCATGCTACATATTTTTGTGTCGCTAGTAATTTTGTTTTTGTTTTTTTTTATTGTTACGGTTATGGCCGACAATTTTCTTTATCGCAATTGAATGATATTTATGTATTTGTGTACTTATAAGTATCTAGCCATCCGCAGTGCAATTTGCTGACCATTTATGGAAATTACACTTATTTACTTATCTGCATTTTCCCATTTGGTTTGATGACATGAATAAATAATTGGAGAGGAAACCGGAGTATGGTAGTGAAGTGTAGAGTAGCTACATAAGTGAAGCTAATCAATTTGATAAAAAGTAGGTACTTACAGTTAACTTTTTAACGCTTTTAAGGGGCGGAAATTTTGGAAAATGTATATTGAAAAACTGCCAGAATAAGGTGCTGATTTCAAAGATTTTTAACCGACTTAAAAAATAGGTGGTTATTAATTCGTCTGAATATTTTTTTGCATGTGAACCGTTTTAGATACTTTTTTTTTATCATAAAGGTGGTACCTAGAACGCAATTGTGGCCATTTTTTAATACAAATTTTTTTTTTTCTTATGTAATTAACTATAATAAAAAATAAATGTTTTATGCAAAAGATAAACAATAATTTACGAAATATAACCTTTTGAAAATATTGAAAATTAAAAAAGAAAAAATACCGACTCGGTACTAAGTCAGTATTTTCCGACCAGTCTCCCGAAAATTTTCCTATGAATCGTTTGTTAAAATCCAGATAAGCGACAAACGTCACTGTATATGTTTTTGGGGTCGCTGAGACCGAATCCGGGACCAGTTTGGTCTGACGAGGTCTGTAGTAAGGTCAGTTGAAGGCCAAAAAGAAACAGGTAGTTACGGTAGAAGCCTCTAAATCTAAATTGTTCCTATTCACCGCATTATCTTGCTAATGGAAAGCAGTGAAATATGTAGATAGTGCTGCACACTCTCGATTTCATCTACACTCTCGTGACATCTACTACAGAAGTCATTAGACTGCACACCGTTTCTTTTTACGTTTGTCGCCATCAATTAGCGGCCTGTAATAATCCCGACTGCTGCCTAAGTCAGAGAAGTGGGGTAGATATACGAAGGCCAATTTGAAAAGTCAGTCACTTTTTGAATAAAAATACATTTTTCGACAAACAAGCATTCATATTTTCCACGCCTGTTACTACACGAATTCATAACAAAATGAAATAAATTTTCTTATTATAAAATTACCCACTTTTCCGGCGTATCGTAATCCATTGCTGTGGTATATCTATATATTAATACGCTAACATAAATTTTGTCTCCGTTCGTTTGGCAATTCTACCGAACCGATTTCAAAACCAAGAACACCGTTGGAAAAGCATTTTTCCGTAGATGAGCAGAGTTTTATGGTTTCACAATTGGTTGAAAATTACGGCCAAAACCGTTGTTTAAACATTTTCGAAATGTGTATAGATGTTGCTGCAACATGTTCAATTTGACATGTTTCGCCTGTTGTTTCACTACACATTTGAAATTAAGCTTTGAAATAAAGATAAATATGAAGATGAAGAAATAAATGAGAACGATGAAGTAAAAAAAAAGCAAAAGTGAAGATAAAGACGGAAATGGAGACAATGACAGATACGTAAGAATTAGGGTAACTAAAAGGGTAAGATCATTTCTTGAATTTATGAAGTAAACTTCTTTAGCGGCAGTTGGTTGATTGGGAGTAAATTGTCAAATTCAAGGGGAATAATGCACATGGAAGTGGTTCTCAGCGGTTTAGCGGTTTGAGAATAAAAAAAAAAAACAAAGATGCCTAGAGATACAGGCAAAAGAGAAGATCAAGGTAAATTTAAACACTTTAAGGTAAAGGAGAAGAGGAATATGCAAAGATATATATGGAGAAAAGGATGAGGATGAAGATCGATACTGTTAGCGATATAAAACCAGATATTGTTATCGACATGAAACTCGATATTGTTATCGATATAATAATCGATATGTATAATAACACTGTTAGACAAATGGTAGGGTTCAGTGATCGGGAAGGGTTCAAACTACCGAGGAAAGTTATATCGGTAAAAAAGAAGTTAAACGTGTCCCGGCGTTTTGCTGGGTCACGTCTAGGAATCGAGATATATCGATTTGAAGTTAGTAACTATCATATAGGGGAAATTGTCACCTTTGGTGGTCTTTTTTTTGACATAAATCGAGAACCACTAGTCCGATTTTGCTCAAACAAATAAAAAAAAATTAAAAATTACAATTCCTTTAATCTGTTCACATAACGTTTTTCTATATAATCAACAGTTTTGCCGGTAAAAATAAATGTATGAAGAAAAAAAATATTTTTTGCCTAAAATATTAAATTTTTTTATTTTTTAAATTCATAAAAAATCCAAAACGGAAAAAAAGGCAAGTCGTATTGCTTTCACGCAAAGTCACATAACATTTTTAGGCAAAAATAATTTTTTTTCTTCATACATTTATTTTTACCGGCAAAACTGTTGAGTATATAGAAAAACTATATATTAACAGATTAAAGGAATTGTAAATATTAAATCACATGATAAGATCACATGATATTACATCATATAATATGATATCACATCACACGATATCACCTGGCATGACATCATATGTCATATCATATAATATCGCATGACATCACATGATATGAAATCACATAACTTGACATCACATGATATGACATCGTATGACATGATGGCATTACATGACGTGGCATCACATGATATGACATCATATGACATGACATGACACATAAAATCACGTCACATCTTATTACGTCTTCGCACCTCACCTCATCTACGTGAATAGATAAAGAAAAGGATAAAAGCAAAGATATGAAAGATAAAAACAAAGATGAAGACCAAGGTAAATTTAAACACTTTACTTTTCAAAGGACAGAGGGGTATGTATGCATGTATATGAAAGATAAACAAGATAAATTTCTGGATAAAGGAAAGTATAAAAATTAAGATAATGGAAAACTGATTAAGATAAATGTAATAATGATGAAAAGGGTATATGTAGGTAGGTAGGGATAGAGGTAGAAAAAAGATAAAATTCACCTTAAGCTTATAACGTTATAAAAACTAGCCTGTCGTTATACTCACTTATTTTTTATTGAACGCTTTCTCAGCAGAGTTATTAAAGGACTGAGAAAGCGCTTAGATGTATTGAAATAAATTCTGTTAACGAAAATTATCAAGTTAGCGAAATTTATCGAATCATCAAAGTTTATAATTATCGAAATTTATCGGCTGGAATGTATCGGTTATATTCCAAGTCCTGCCAAAGACCTTCAAAGATATAAAAAATTTAAGTCAAGGTTTAGTTCCAAAGCAGGAGATTTTCCGGCAAGTAACATTATACACATTATAAGTTAAACGTTAAGAATTAGAAGAACGGTCGAATTTCGACAGTAGCTGGCACTCTAGTTTTATTTAAAAGAAATCCCGTCTGTTGCAATGGCGGTCAAAAAGAACAATTAAAATGTAAACAAAGAACAGCTGTTTCACTATAGAGGAACTTTCGCCGCAATTGGCAAATAAAACGAGCTTTTCGCTTGTCATTATTGACTGTGCATACCTATGGCAACAGTTGATGACACGATAATGACAATTGAACTGTGACAATTGACGACTGTGACAACGCGCGAATAGGGCTGTAATTTTTTAATTTTGTCATACATTTTGTCATAAAATATAACTGTCAATAACTTGCACAAATATATGCATTTAACAAAATATTTGTATGCTACCATAGGGAATTTAAATACTTTTCAATGTCAAACTTGTTTCAAAAACCCGTGATTTGGTGAAATTTTTGAGATAGATACAGTTCACGTGGCAGCACTGTAATACTTTCTGTTAAAAAGTAGACACGTTCTTGGAACTGGTAGGTTGTGCATTTTATATAATCATCAACTAATTGGATTACTAACTAAAAATCAATACAACATATTCTCTCGAGTACCCCACTTCCGACTTTTTCCTTATCTCAAACCTGTAGAAACTCCTCGCAGTTAAGAGGCCTTGAGAAACCCTATTTTTTGAAGCGGAAAGTCTTTTGACTAAGTGTTTATGTGTAAAACGAATTTTGCAAAATAAAATGCACGAAAAAAATGTGCTTATTCAAAAAGTCATTGATTTATTAAACTGTTCTCGAATTATACAACTTTTTAGGTAATTATAAAAATTTTAATAAAACGTCATCTTCTCTGGCGTTATAAATTTTTTATTCATTTTATATTTTTAAATAATATTTTTTAACTACAACTCTTAGCGTATAACTACATATAACTATGACTGGTTCCGTTTATGCATTCAAAACAAACTAAATTGATGCGAATATGGATTGCTGAAGTAGTTGAACGCTGTGTATGAGGTGGCCGGTACTCGATAGGCGGTGCTGTAGTACACCTCCGCGGAGTCTGAAAAGAAAGATAGTAAAAACAAAAGCAATAACGTCACTTTTTTATTATTCATTCTGCGAACTTTAAGCATGGCAATTAATTAAGCAAACAACTTAATTTTAAGTGTCAATAAATGCTAGTGACCCAATACAAAATGCATAATTAATTTACATATAAAAGCAGAAGTGCAGTCATGCAACACGGATAAGCCAATAATTATTTCATGCATTTACTTAGTAATGTTAGAAACGTGTAGGTACTCGTATGAGTTAACAAACTGGTAACGTTAATTACAGCACAAGCGGAATTAACTGCATACCCGTTTGATGTGCACTTACATATATATGTAAATATAAATACCAGCGTATGTGTGTATGTACATATAGTAGTTTTATGATAATATTATTGCACTTGCAATTCTAGCATCTGTTGCACTTAAATATCTGTTAAGCTAGGTGAATGAATATAAATTTTCTCTATAACATTTTTAATTTGCTTTATTTTCTGCTGCTGCACCTGTCGCTAGCAACATTTACGGCACAGATGTTTGATTGTCGGTGGTCAGAGTGGGCGTAACACTCATAGCAGATTGTTGCTCTTAGCAACAAGGCAATTATAAACTACATTATTTTCTTGTTGTTGTTGTTGTTGTTGTAAAAGCAATCAATAATTAGCAAACACTCTATTAGCCCAGCTTTTGGTATTAAAAATAAAACATAGCGAGCTGTCATCTATGACAATTAACTCTGTACAACCAGGAACACATAAGCACAGATGCCAATTAAAAATGTATGCCTGTATAGAGACGGCAAAGCAAAGGGCATAAAAGAAAACAGGTTCTGCGACGCGAGTTATTACTGATTATTAAATACATATTTATATTAAAAAATTATATTTGACATGGCTTAACTTTTACTTCTAATATTCTTAAGTAATTAGCCGATTAGTTAGTATTGACGTATAATGAAGGGATTACGCGACTTTCTCTATCAATTATAAACAATTTAATTATCATGAATTAATTGCCAATTTGATACATAATTTGTGGTATAACCTTTGAAATATATAGTATAATCGCGTCAAAGAATTTTCGCTTATCGATTTAATGCAACGTGAATGCAGCACTGAGTATGAATAAATCTTTATTGATGCCTGGTTAAAATCATTGAATTAGAGACTATCAATATTTTCAAACTTGATAGCATTTCTGAATGTATTCGGCGCCATTGATGAATCCATCGTACATTCGATTTTCGTGACATCTCGCTCGAATATAATTATTAACCAATTCAAATGCTCGCATAATAACACTTATCGAAGGAGAAATAAAGTAGCAGGCGAAGGTTAATCGATGCAATGCGTTGTTAGTTGCTCTCAGTGGGAAACCCTTATCGATGTAAAATAAAAATTCTTCTCAGCCAAGGAGGAATATAAAAGAGAAATCTACATCTACATACATATATGCTTATAAATACGCCACAATAAAATTTTGAACGAACTTTTTTGAGGGAACCATACACCGATTTAAGGGATATAACTTCCTCTCCGTTATGTAGGGGGCATGACATCAGACATACAGACTAAAAATGAAAGCCGATATATCTATAAAACCAATTACGCTGGGTAACTGAAACTTGGCAAGGGTGCATAAATTGTAAATACCCTACATGCGGTGAAAGATGGCGAATAATGGAAAACGAGGCGTGGCACCTCCCCACAAACTGAAATTCTCATATCGCTTTATCCTGGAACCATTTATGGTAATGTCCTGAAATTTGACACAGCTACATATGTTATCAATATCGTATTTATGGTGAAACGTGATAGGTATTGGAAAAAGGGGGGCGTGGCACTTCCTAATCAAATTGAAATTTGCATACACTGCGGTGCATAACTATAAACGCATTCATTCTTTCGAGCTTACGGCGCATTAAAGAAATTTAGGAAAAAATCGGTTATGCCGAGTTAAGGGCCTTTTACATTGATCAACTTAAAAGAATAAATCTATTTTATAAAGCCTTTCATTAACAAAGTGCAACCAAAAATGTTATGGCGATTTCGTTTTTACAAAAAATGTTGCCTTCTCATCGGGCTCTTCTTAGTGTTTGTATGTAGAGGGCAAAGAGAAGGTTGCGTTCTTCGGTAGAAACGAAATCGGAATTATTTTTTACTGGTGCATAAACATAAACGCATTATTTCTGAGTGCATATATAAGTTTCTTATCTTTCAAGTGTTGATTAGAAGATAACGATTGATTATTGACATCGGAAGGCAAGGATCAGACTCTGAAAAGGATTTTAGTTTACGTTTTGCGGAGTTAACGCCGAAATTCGCGAAGTAATTCGAAGATTTGCGCGATTGAAAAAAATAGCGCGACTTTTTTTTTTAAATATTGAGTCAATTATTTACCGAAAAAAGAAACAAAAGGAAAAATTAGATCCCAATATACGATTAACGTACTCAGATAAAGATAAGCTGGGTGCCCGCACAAAATACCCCTATCCAAATTTATTTTTTTTTAATTTTTAGGGAAATTTCTTTTCCTTCAAAATCGAATTCTTTGCTTTGGCACCATCCTAGGGACTTGATATTTAAGTTACTACCTTCTTATTCTTCTTATTTGGCGCTGTAACCGTCTAAGCCATTTTGGCCGAGTTCAACAAAGCACGCCAGTCGTTTCTATTCTGTGCCAACTGACGCCAATTGGAAATTCCAAGTGAAGCCAAATCCTTCTCCACTTGGGTTCTCCATTGCAGTGGGGGCGTCCCTCTTCCTCTGCTACCACCAGCGGTTTCCGAGATGAATACTCTCAGAGCTGTACATTCGAACGATATGACCAAGCCAGCGGAGCCGCTGAATTTTAATTCGCTGCACTATATCCATGTCGTTGTAAAGCTCATACAGGTCATAGTCGCCATCGCCAACGCGTAAAGGCCCGTAAATCTTCTGCAAAATGTTTCTCTCTAATACTCCAAGAGCCGCTTCATAGAATGTTGTCGTTGTCCGTGCTTCTGCGCCATATACCAGCACAGGCATGATGAGTGACTTATAAAGTGTGGGCTACTTCCTTCATTTTGAACTAAAATACAAGTTTTCAAACTGCATACTGTATACATTCAAACAAAAAAGATTACTTCAGAGTGCCCACAGAGCCCATGATAATCATAAATATAAATACTTCGCTCACTTAAACAACCGTTTTAAGCTTAAGCAAAATAAGTTATCATAAAATCGTTTAACTACCAATTCAAACTTAAATTTTATACTTAGCTTAGCGCTTAAGACAAAACATCTGGAAAAAACAAAATCCACCAACCGCACCTAATCATAAAATTCAATATTGATTTATTATTTGCCTAACATGAACAGAAGGTTGTCATATTAAAAGAACACAATCATCTAAGTAATTTATGTGACTACTTAGATATGCATGTAAGCATTCGCTTACCAACAAAAAAACCACATGTTTTGCCAATATTTATTGGCACTTTAAAACATCAACAACACCCACAACATACAGCTACCATTTAAAATGCTAATAAAAACGATAAAGTGTAGTCAAAACCTAGCTTCAACTCTGAACTGTCATTTTATTAAAACAAGCTGATAAAAAAATAAACAGCAAGCAGCTGTTTCGTTTTAGCTGCCCTCTGGTAAGTACAATCAGAAACGCATATAAAAAATTCAGCGAGTTCGTAGCTTAAGTCTTTCGTTGCTAAGGCTGATAGATAACTACTCTACTTACGCTTGCATATACATACATACGTATATATGTGTGCACTAGGATGGTTCAAAATAAGTAAAGTCGGAACTTTAATGCTCTCACCCCCTAGGATTGTTCTGTAGAGAAATATGCCCCCATTATTTTATTTTCAAGTCAAAAAATATTTAGAGGTCACGCGAAGCGCTCAAAGTTTTCCATGTATTTTATATGGGGGAAAACATAACTTTTCGAAGAAAACGTATAGAACTTTAGAATAGAATAAATATTTTTCGATGGGAAAAACTCTTTTTCTCTTCAGGAGACGTCCAGTAACAATATCCATTGTTTATTCAACCATTTTTTAATACTAAATATTTTTTATTATCCCCCATTTAATTTTTTAGCATTTCTGGATTTGGTGGATCTATGAAATATAGTTACTATATGATAATATAATAATATAATATAATAGAGATACGATTTCTACGAAAAGTGATATTTTTACAATATAAAATACATGGAAAACTTTGAGCACTTTGACCGACCTTTAAATATTTTTTTTTTTCAAAATAAAAAATAGGGGTACATTTTTTCGGTATGGAACAAGCCTAGGCGATGTGAGCATAAAAATTCCGGCTTTTTCCCCCCACATGCTTTTTTTTGGACCACCCTAGTATGCACGAGCAAGTAATGTAAATTTGAAGTTTTCTGGTTAACTGCATTTTTGCGTTGTGTTATTGTAATTGGCTAATTTCATTTACATAAAAAGTGAAGTATTTGATAACGATGCCAACAGGCTGAAATGAAACCACAAAACTATGGCATGAGTAAGCTGGAAATTGGGTGGTGGCAATTGTTGGCTCTCAGAGTAAAAGCATAAAAAAAAGATGAACTTGTGTTGCTTTAAATTATAATCGCTGCTAGCGAATCAGTGTGTGCGACTACTGTGATGTTTACAGCCTCCCCATAATGGGTTTGGGCCAGGTTTGGGGCTATTCCAGGAATCCTTTTAGCGCCATTTTGCGTCCAATGGCGTATCACATACATACATATATATAAGGACGATCAAACGAATGGTCAAATGTACAGCACAAATTAATCTCCTTACAGTGGTCATTCCGGCATTCAACCAGCGACTAGCGCAATTGCCTAGTCGCATAGATAAGTACATATGTACTTGAATTCATAGCCACCCACAGCAGTACTCCAATTACCGGGTTGAGCTGCTGAACACATTTGAATTGCACACACATGTGCTCGCATGCAAATCACTTGCACATTTAAAAACTTTCTGCAGCCAATAGTTGCAAAATAA